CACAACTAGATACAAACGTTATGCTATGACAACATAAACTCTGTTGGACTGTGGCAGAAGCGATACAAAAATCAATCCAAAAAGCACTTACCTTTGTTTGCTCAGCAGTACTTACTGACAGCTGAGAGAATAGAATGAGTGGAAATGAAATTTTCAGAGCTCAGTACGCAGCAATAAGATTAAAGCCAGAAGACCCAGAGATGTCACATCAGCATAAAATGCCTTAATAGTTTAGAATCTGATGTTTACAGCGTCCTCTTTCCTATTATAGCTCTGCTAGTGACTAAGCCTTGTGTGGTGCTTTGACCTTGGCTGGCAGCCACCTGCCCAGCCAGACGCTCTCTCACTGCCCCTCCTCAGCAGCACAGGGGGAGAAAACGTGATGGAAAAGCTCAGGGGTCAAGACAACAACAGGGTGATCACCCACCAGTTCGAGGAATGGGTAAAGCAGACTTGATGACAGAAAATGATTTATTACCAATATTTATTACCAATTACCGAAATAATTTATTACCAATTGATACCAGAGTAGGATCGTGAAAAAAATAAAAACAAAATTAAAAACAACCTTGTGCCCACTCCCTCTTCTTCCCAGATTTACCTATAACCCCCCCTCCCCCAGCAGTTCAGGGGGATGGGGAATGGGAGTCAGTTCATAACACTTCATCTCTGCTGCTCCTTCTTCGCTCTGTCCTTCTGCTCCAGTGAGATCCTGCCCATGGGATACAGTCCTTCACAAACTGCTCCAATGTGGGGCCTTCTCACAGGCTGCAATTCTTCATGGACTGCTCCAGCAGGGGTCCTTTCCAGAGGGTGCTGTCCTTCTCACAGAAGCCACCACTGCAGCTCTCCCACTACCAAAATTTCCCGTGTAAGCCCAATATATTTTCTCATTCTTTTAAGTTTTGTTTCTTTCTAAAAGTTTCAGTAATAGGTAAAAGTTGTAAATATTTTTGGAGTCCAAGTATCTTCCTATCCTGATGTCTTCTCAAAAGTAATGTGGAATTCCTGCTCAGCTGAGGCACTACTGAGGCACACTCAGCTAAAGCAAGGACGAGGAGCGTCTGTACATTTTTGCAGCTTAAAACACATGGAAAGAGAAGCTCAGTTACAAAGAAATAACCTGACTGTGACTTGGAGGGTACTGCACAACACTAAATCTGCAGACACTGATTGCTAATCCTGTCCTGCAGCACGTCCCATGGAACACAGCAGAGGAGTGTGCCCCTCTGTGCAGCACCGACAGAGCACTTCACAAGGAGCAACACACTCTTACATCAGAAGTCAGTGTTCCAGCCAAGGGCCACTGACTTCTCAGAGGAGCTGCTACTTCAGTTGATAACTCCTGAGATTTTGAATCTTGTCTGCGAGGCGTTAAAGTCCCTCAAAATATTCTTCTCCCATATCCAAAGCGCCAACGCCAAGAGGCAACGGCCCCAAGTTGCACCAGGTGAGTTTTACATTAGATATTCAGAAAAAAATTTCTTCACTGGTGGTCAAGCATTGGAATAGGCTGCCCAGGGAAGTGGTGGAATCACCATCCCTGAATATGTTCATAAAACATGTAAATGTAGCACTTGGGGGCACGGTTCAGTGGTGGACATGCTCGAGGTGGGTTAATGGTTGGACCTGATAGTCTTAGAAGTCTTTTTCAACCGTAACAATTCCTGGATTATGTAAGACAGATGTCAACCAACAACAAATAAAATGCTGCATAATTTGCGTTTGGATTTTGTAGGTGAGCTTAGATTTGTGAATTATTCTTATAGCAAAGAGTGATTAATTTTCCATTATGTGTGGGGAAAAAAAAATGAAGGAGACCTGGAAAAAATATATTTCTAAGGAGAAGTTACACACACACACACAAAACCCACCCAAAAACAATAAAATAAAGCAACTGAATGAAGAAAAAATTACATTTGATGCCAAAAAGAGAAGGAAAGAGAACTGGATAATAAAATATTTGGAGAAGATAAAAATCGACAAACTGAGAAAACAAGTGCATGAGATATTTGGGGAGACAATCTGGGTTAAATCATGAGCTCTTCTCTTTGTCCAGCACATGACAGGGACAAACAGATTGTGGATACCAAGTCAAGTAGCTGAGGAAAGTTATCATTGACATCAAAGGTTTCACAAAGTCAGAAAGAGCAAGTCACAAAGATATCACAGGTGTTACAGCTATTAGAGGAGAACCAGGGAAAGCATTATTTTCTCATCAAAGAAGAAAAGCTATGACAAATTGATGTCAAGAAGGCTAGACCAAGAATTACAGCTGCAATTTCCAACTTAGGAAACAGATCTTTTCACTGAACTGGCAAATACCCTCTGGATATTTTCCCCATTTCCAAAGTCTGCAGTAAAATTGTTTACTTTCTTCATTTCAGCCCTGCTTTTGAAATTTGGAATTTTAAATAAATATTGTTCATATTCTGAAGTTACATTCCAATTTATGAGGCTCTAAACATAATTATTTGTCACCTATTTTTTTCCATATTCAGTGAAGAGAAAGAGAATAAAGAACTGTTTAGTGGCATCACAACACCTGCTATTTCCAGAAGATAAATTGTTGCTAGATTAATTGGAAAGCAGACATCATCATTATTACAAAGACTGCCCTATGAACATTGTGAGTGAAAATCCACACAATAAACAGGAGCATTTTCATCTATAATCACATCTGGTGCTAAAAAGCTCAAGTGACATTCAGTCAGCTGTGCATTTCACTAAATAGTCAATCTGAAACAGCAGTGTCATGCTCCCAGCCTTTTTTTAAATTTTTTTTTTTTTTGTGACAATGTGCAAATAACTCAGTCCAATTCCCATTGCCATTGCCTTTTAGTGACTCTCACAATGATTATTCAACAAACAGTCAGCATTTTTCTGGACATTTTGACAAGGCCACAGAAGAATGTGGAGGAGTTTGCAGACTAAAAAACTTGCCTTGCTTAAATTTGTTTTCAGTGAAAATAAAAACAGTATGGGGTCACCAAAAGTGTTCTTGCAATTAAGTGGGGGAAAAAAAAGCACAGTAAATATATTCACAAAATGTGAACTGTTCTTTGGGTTACACCAAGATTCCTCTCCTATACAAAAGGCAGCATGACAGAAAATACTTTAGTGATAGACTCAACAGATGAGCTGCAGAATTATATCCAGGTGGGGAAAAGGCACTTTCCCAGCAACCAGTGTGGGAGAAGCCATCTGGGGCAGGAGCTGGCAGCCACCAGTGCCTGTGGGCAGCTCTCAGGCAGTGCAGGGGGGGCTGCAGCACCCACCCTGCTGCTCTGGCCCACCAGTCCTGCTCCTGGGGAGGAGAGAGAGAGCTGGCAGAAGCAGATGCAGCTGCAAACCCAGCTGAAGCCTCTCTGACAGAGAAGGAGTTAAAACCCTGGTGAGCCACTGGGGCGCTGCAGGGTCTTTCCTTCCCTTCTCTCATCCCCCTGAAGTGTGTGTGGCACAACTTTCAACCCTGTGGTGTGCAGCTCATCAGACCAAGAAGCAGGAGGACATCACTGCTCTGGTGCTGGCAGGCAGAGAGGAAACCACATAAGCCCACACTGAGAGCTCTCTGTGTGACAAAAACCTGTCCTTCAGCAGTCACCACCAACAGTGAAGGTACCCATTGATAGGCAGTGAGAATGGAAAAAGTAGTTAGCCACACTTTTAAGTATTAAGCTGCAATGACCCAACAGCAAGCTTGCTCTCTTGGTCTTGTTCTCTCTGTCAGTTCCCTTTGCCAGTCTCTCCCATTTTCCTCTCTCTTCTTCTGTACAAAATCATTCAACTCCCAAATCTCTGTCTTATCCCAAGCACCAAGGCCTTCCTTTCCAAGTATCTACATGGGCCCCTGCTCAGCTAATCCTCTTCCTCCTTCCAAAGACTTTCAGCAGGGCTGACAGGCCCACTGGAATTGCTATCACCTGTTGGCAGCCTGACTGTAATACCTACTCCCGTGGTCAGCAGCTGCAGAGAATTGCAGATAGCTGAAAAAGAAGCCAACTCTGTGTCTGAACCTTCCTGCCACTTGCGCTGCTATTGTAACACATACAAAAGGTGAGCAGAAAATTAAGTGAGCTTGTTCCATCACTACTCTCTGCCTAGAACCATTGTTCGTGTCCCAGGCTTTCTTAAAACCACCCCCACTAGCCACGTCATTCTCTTTGGCCTAATAAGTTTTATTAATCACACACAACAAGCTTGAGAAGGATGAGGGCCAATTTTATCGCAGAAGGAAGATATGACAATTAGGCAGCTGAGACCTTTTAATGCATTCAACATGTGGGTTTGCCTGAGCTCTGGGTTGATAACTTGAGCTTTTTGTTGGCAGTACACTGGTTATAATCAAAGTCTGACTACGATGCTGTAAGCTAATTTTCTGAGAAGTTGCAGCAGGACAGCCTGAGGACGCTGATGGAGCAGAGATGACTTCCTGAGGCAATGAGCAGGCAAAGACCATTCAAAACGCACATCTGAGTACAGTTTCTGCAGTATTAGTGTTTGGAAGGTTTGACAAATCTGACCAACGAAATTTGAAATAAAAAACTGGTCTGTGTGATTTTTTTCAGCTTGGGGACACAAGGATGAGAAGAAATAAATGGTGTGGCTAGGATTGGGGCTTTTTTTCTTTGTTTTAAACATGCACACCACCTGCATTTTACCCAGCTTAACACTCTTGTTCTCCGTAAAACCATGGTGTGATCTCAGCTTCTCGGAAACTGGTCAACAAAGATTTACCCAAATAGCCACGGAAATCCTGCAGGTAAGTATTTAAATATTTGCACATTTACTTTAAAAAGAATCTTCAAAAACTGTCCACAGTTATTTTTCATTTCCATATCCAGCAGAGTTTCATATTGTTTTGTGGGGGGTTTTTGCCACATGCAACTATCTACCCAGGAAAAAAAAAAAATCCCCCCAAACCAAATCATAAAGTCTCTTATTTCTGTGACTTTTCTGGACGTGTTTCTTTGACCTTCAATATTTTGGGGTCCCCCGTGTCACTTTCTGGTTTCCAACACAAAATGGCAAAGACAATCCAGTTGCTAAAATGGATAAGAAGTGCTATATTTTCACCAGCAGTCTGTTTCTCTGGCACAGAAATACACCAGTTATTGTTTTGAGGAAAGGCCACACCTACCTCGGAGTCCATTTTCAAACAAAATTCAGGTAGGTGTTTTCCCACGTCAGTCTTTAAAAGTTTCATCTGTTTCAAGACCTGTACCGATATATTGAGAAAAATAATGTGCTAAAGTGGTTTTTCCTCCCTCACCATCAGGAAAGACAAAGGCTTTCCTTTGTAGGTAAGGTCTGAAGTTTATTAGTTGCGGTATTTCAGGTAACTGAGTCTCATTAGTAGCTGAGCTGGTATCAGACTACTTGTGCCTGCACTGTTATAGGTTCATATATATAGATCCTGGGATGTAATTCTCGTAGAGAGTGTCTGCTAAGACATGTGAGGGTGTAGACTTGGAGTTCCTAGTCTGCAATTCCTAGAAAGAAGAACATGCACCATTCAATTATGCTGTAGGATTTTGTGGAATCGTCATTCCTACAGAGTCCAAACAGAAAAAAACAAGAGCAGAAGAAACCTGGTAGGTAACATTATTTTTGCAAAAGAAGTTACTTCTCTGAACTCTCTAAGCAAAAGGGTAGGGAACAAAGGGTGAAACCTGAGCTGGCAGAGAGGTGCAAGAACAGCCTGCACAAAGCCTAAACAGAACACCCTCTGAAAATTTCTTAATGTGATCAAAAACAAATTTTGAAATGTTGTTATCTTCACCAAAATAGATGACAATGAGCAATGCCAGCTTTTCTGGCAAAAAAAATAAAAACAACCCACCCCAAACAACAAACCAAACCAACAAACAGGCAGACCACAAAGCAATCCAATTTAGGCAACTAAAATTACTGTAAGCCTTTGACTTTGATTTCTTCAGCTCCCACTCCCGTCAGTCAAATTGTCCTGAATGCCACAGAAGAGCTTACCAGGAAATTAATTCCAACTTCAGAGCACTCTGACTCGTTTGCAACAAACAACGCACACGACCATTAATTAAACCGTGAGCAGAAAACAAAATATGAAATAATTGCTCTTTCAATGTGCATTAAGTGAGGCAGAAGCCCTGAGGAAAGAGCAGCATATTCTGTTAAATATGTATCATGACATACTGGAATTAGAGAGGAAGCAAAATTTGCGGTGGCAAATTTATCACTGCTGTTTCCTAGCTCCTGGGTGCTGGAACTGCAACTTCAAAAAGTAAGAGTGTCATAACTGTGTTTGTCTCTAATACAGCAAAACAAAGTGGACTCTTTTCCCTCATTGTTAAACATGTCTGTTTTCACCTGATCTTTAATCAAGCAGGTTTCTGCCATCAAGAGTAAACACATTCTTAAGCAAAACATCAGAGTTAAGATTACTCTGTGAAGCAGAATTATGAAAACGTTAAGTTCTGGGACAGGTGACGTTCAGCACTGTAAATGTAATCTATAGGCAGGAAATGCACTGTACTTAGTGCTTAAACAATCACTCAGATACCCTGATTATATAGGGTGTAAGAAGACAGGGCCATCCAAGCAACAGCCATCCTCCCAGATGCAGAGTTCCTCATTCCCCCCTCCAAGGGCACACAGACATAAACGGGAGTTTTGTCAGAGTAGACACATTGCAATTAAATCACACATTTTAGTGAAGAATGCACCAAAACCAGCAAAGCACACACCAGAAGCCCACTTACTGCAGATGGTTCTGCTGGCCCCTGTGCCAACTGACGTGACCGGAAAGCTGAAAGCAGGATGTCAGGAAATTAAAATGGTTTGATGATGCAAGGTACACAGGTTGTTATATCAGGGGTTCTCCTCTAGCTGTCCTCAGCTGTTGAAAGACTTTCTTCAGAATATACTCATAGGTTAAGTTCTTATTTTTTATGTCCTGCTCTTGAACACACTATTGTTTCATTTTTCCCCTCATAGAAACTTCTGGTCACTCTGAGTGTCCTGGTTTCTACTGGAATGGAGTTCATTTTCTTTTTAGAAAGAGTGGGAGCTGTTACAGTGCCATATGAGAAATATGTTGATAACATACTGATGTTTTAGTTGTTACTAAGTAGTGCTTACCCTAAGTCAAGGACTTTTCAGCTTCCCAGGCACTGCCAGCAAGGAGGGTCACAAGAAGCTGGGAGGGAGCATGGCCAGGACAGCTGACCCGAGCTGGCCAAAGGGATATTCCACACCATAGAAAGTCATGCTCAGTACATAAAGCGGGCAGAGTTTGCCAGGAGCCACCAATCCCTGCTTGGGGATGGACTGGGCATCCATCAGTGGATGGTGAGACTACAGCATACATGTTTCTGTCAGACTTTCTTTCCTTCTCTCTCTCTCATTTTCACCACAACTAATATTAATATTGCTATGATTATCATTAGTATCATCATTAGTATTATTAGTAGTACTCTTGTAGTTGATTTTGTTTCAATTCTTAAACTGTTCTTATCTCAGTCTACAGGGTTAGTTTACTTTTTCTCCTCTGATTCTCCTCTCCACCATGGCGGGATGGAGAGGAGTGAGTGAGGGGCTGCACAGAACTTAATTGTAGTTAAAGCACAGCACTGGGAGACATGACTGACGTGACTCTGTTAAGTGCAGTTTTCCTCAGCTCTGCAGAGATAGACTGGGCCAAGGAACCCATCTAACCATTCTTTTTCCTCCCCTCACCTGCTCCAAAGACACACACATCACCCTGTGGCAGGGACAGGCACCTATCAGTGCTGCAAGCACTGGTCAGTGCTGCCACTGTTGATGAAAATTGCCCCTGTTTTCTTCTCCTGTCTATGTTTTCCTCACCTTCCCTTCCTTTCTCTTTTAGTGCACACCTTCACTCACTGTCCTCTCTTGTCAACCCTCTTTCACCATATTTGTTCAGCCCTGGTTCATGAAATAAATCAACTATATAACATGCCCTATGCAGGGGGAATAATCTGAAAGATACTGACGTAGCCATACTTGGCCTATTCTTACACTTGCTGATGTAAAGAGAGCTTCTTTGTGTCTAGTCATTAGACTAGTTTGTGAACTGCCATTCTTACGTATAGAATTTTATGCCAGTGAATGCAAATCAAGATAATTCTGAAAACTCAAAACTCACCCTACTCTCAGAACGAACCCTTTTCATCCTGGATGACTCTCTGACATACATGTAACACATCAATATCATAATACCTATGGCTCTTACACAACTCCTAACTTGTTTTAAAGTTCCCACCCCGTTCTTATGTGATAAAGCACAAGTCCTTGTACCTGCACATGGTCAGCAAGGGAATTGTAATACACTCCAGATTCATCAAAGGACTTACCTCTGCACCCACAAATCAAGCACAAAGTCACACCAGTGACAGCAGCAACACTGGCAGATCCCCCTATCAGGAGATAGGGAAGGCTGGGGGAAGCATCTGGGAGATGAGAAATACAAGCAAGTTACAGAGCTAGACATCAGTATCCACTGAACTACACGATGTTACTACCCACCTTAACCAGTGGAAAAGGCTAATCCTCTGCCTCCACAGCTCAAAGAAGCAGAGAGAAACATGATCTGTCTGGATGCCAACCAGCAATAGGAAGCTGCCCCACACACCCAGTCATTTGTGTGTACAAATGCATTTTCATTTTCAACTCATCTGCCTTCAAGGTCTCCTTTTCTTCAATAATTATTAGCCCTGCAGCAACAGAACTGACCAGCCGTCTCTGCCAAATGCTGCTATTAATGATTTCTCTATGCTGACTTCTGTCTTTTGTGCCTCTACTGAGATATTTTGGTGATATGAGCGCTTATTTGGGTGTTCTTACAAATCTTCCTGCAACAGAGACTTCTAATAGCTCCAAGACAGCCAGCTGAAGAAGCTGAATTTTACCCTTTACCACCTCTGGCCCTCAAAAGGAACATTCTATCAATGTTCCATCACTACTGTGGGAAGCTGGACAAAATTCAGCTTCAGTTTGTGAAGAACTGCAGCCCATGGGAAGGATCCTGTTGGAGTTGTTCATGGACTGCCTGCTGTGGGTGGAACCCCACACTGGAGCAGGGAAAAAGCCTGAGGAGGAAGGAGCAGCAGAGATGAAGTGTTAAGAACTGACCACAACCCACATACCCCTATAAAACCTCAGGGGAGGAGACAGAGAAGCTGGAAGTGAAGCTGAGGTTGGAAAGAAGGGGAGAATTGCAAGGAAGGTTGGGGTTTTTTTGTTCTTGTTTCTCACTATGCTACTCTGATCTGATTATCCATAAATTAAATTAATTTCCCTCAAGTCTGTTTTGCCTATGACAGTAATTGGTGAGTGATCTCTTCCTGTCTTTATCTTGACCCACGAGCTTTCCATAGCATTTTTTTTCCCTGTCTTGTTGAGAAGGGGGAAAAATCAAGGAGCTTGGTGGACACCTGGCAGCCAGCCAAGGTCTACCCACTAGAAACAGAATGAGGAATTCTTGTAAAACAGAACAGGTGTAGAAAGAAACACACTGAAAGCTTCTCCACACAGGGCCACAAAACGTTTGGTTTCAGCTAACCCAGAACTATTAATTTCTCTACCAACGTGCACTAGGACTTGGGCTTATAACTGCACTAAGCAAACCACAGAGCCCTGACCTTCTTTCCATGGGAACTGCTGCACAGAACAGCACAGAGAAGGATGAAGGGCATTTATAAGGACACTTACTTGTCAGGTCTATGGACAGAGTCTGGTTTGTGGCTGGGTGGGTAACCAGGCAGGTGGCAGTGGGTTGGGTGCTGTTGCCCCAGCCTGTGTAGCTCACCCTGGTCACTGTTCCATCGGGGTGATGGATTTCTTCCTCAGTGCTGGGATTACTTGCAGGGATCCAGGAGATGTCAGCAGCTGGCTTTCCCCCAGATGCCTGACAGACAGCCCCCCTGCCCTCGTCATAGCTCAGAGTCGCTCTAGGAGGGACTGCAGAAGAAATAAATGTTAATTTAAAAAAAAAAAAAACAAAAGGCCACAACCATTATTTCTAGTTCAGTATAAAATCACCAACTGAAACTGAAAAGCAAGTGGTGTTTTTTTGTTTGCATGACCAATTTATGAGATTTTAAAATAATTTGAAAAAAAAAAAAAAGATGTTTTAATGTATTCATTATATTTCCTAATATTCTTTTTTTCCTGTCTGTGTTGAAAATAGACTTTTTTAATAATTTTGATTTTAATGATGCAGTCTTACCTATCACAGTCAGAGAAGAGGAAAAATAAAAATTCCCTTCACTGTTGATAATTTCACAGCTGTAATTTCCCTCATCACCGAGGTACACGGGGTAAATACGAAGGGCGGGGTCACTGTCAGGTGGATATTTCCACATGATCCTCTCGCTGCAGTTTATCTTCCCTGTCTCATTGTAATCACTTCTGTAGGCCAACACACAGCAACTGCTGCATTTCTTCTTCCATGTCACCATCACCAAAGGCTCCTTGAAGGTGTAAGGGCAGCTCAGCACAGCCTCGTGACCAGCCTCCACACTCACCATGTTGGAAGCTACATAAGAAATTAAAAAAACAAACAAACAAACAAAACAAAACATAAAAAAGGTGCTGCACCACCATCAAAGCACAGGAAACTCTTCATCACACTTAAAAATTTCTACTTCCTCACTGTACTGGCAGCCTTGGGGACAAACTGCTCTATTCAGGCACACGTTAGTATTCAGTTTCCAGGTCTGGTTTCCTGAAGTCTGGTTGATGTGGTATCTTTCTGCTGTGGACACTACAGGTATGTGATGAATGTAAATGAGCTGCAAGTCCTCCATCTTATTTTAGACAACAAATTTCTATCACTTGAACATAGGCTTTGAGAAACTGATGAGGGGAGCAAAATTCACTCTTGGGGGAAAGGAAACTATTTTTTTTTTAAGTTCACTGTGTTACTGAATTAGGTGCCTTTCTTAAAGTGCAAATAAAACTGGGGACAGCTGTGGAATGCATGCCTGTGACAGAGTTAAAACCCAAGATCACTTGGTGCAGTAGGTTAGTAAGGGGCACACGTAGATCCCTTTTCTCCCAGCAGTCATAGCTCTCCTGCTATTTTCCCAGTTGAACAGCAGATGATTTGTGTTGGATTCCTATCAGATATTATCATCTTGTGCCACTCTGCAAGGCACATGATTATTTTGCCAGCTGAGGTGACATCACTCTTTGCATTGACATTAAACAATAAGCAAAATTTGCTCGGGTGAACCATGAAGTTTTGGTGTACTTGTAAGTTAGAAATGCTTGGATCTTTCTGACTTACCTTCAACCAGATTGATTGGCAAGAAAAGGAGCACAGCCAGGACTGCCCATTTCTGAGCCATCTTTAGCAGAAGGATTCAGCACTGCAGAAAGTGAAGGCAAAGAGAATGACACGTAGCCACAAATTGTTGTGTAAATCTCTTCAAAGAGTACATGTAGTAAAACCTCCGTTTTCTTTGAAAACAGAAGTTCTAAATTAAATGCCTTGTCAAATATCCTTCTTTTACTGAAGAAAGTAAGGCAAAAAGGGAGTTAAAAGCAAACAAACAAAAAACCAAACAAAACCCAAAACAAAGACAACAACAAAACATAAACAAGCCACCCACTACTGTTTACAAACAATTTTTTTCAAAATCCAAGATCTCTGACGCCACTCAGGATCTAGACTTCGTCAACTGCTGGGCAAAGAAATTACTCCTAACCCTTGCATGTTTTAATTTCTTGACAGTTAACTCTACTTCTACATTTGAATAAAAAGAGCAACCCTCCTATTGCAAGAGATCAAAACCATGTGAGTTTGTTTCCTGCTTTCAAAGACAAAGTGAACTAAAGAGGCATCCAGTAACTCATGCTGTTCTACAAAAACATATACCTTTCAACAAACTGTATCTCAAATTTCTAGCTCCTTTTTGGCAAAAGGTTCTTTGGTAAGACTGAGACAATGTTGTCATCCCAACTCTTTTTTTTTTCTGGTTCACACAAGAAAGCAGAACTCTATGCTATCCAAAAGCTTTCCAAACAAAATATATATGGTTCTCAGTGGAGTGTTTTGACATAAACTCATTCAGCTGTTTCTTGAATGCAGATTTGGCTAAGAACATCACTGATATTTTCCTGTGGTCAGACATCATACCTAAATGACCTCAGTCTAGCATGGCAAAGTTGCACTACTCTGTACTGAACAACATCCATACGTATTCCCAGCCAGCTGGGATAAAGCCCAGGCCTGGGAGTGTGTCCCTGTTCCCACAGCACTACAGTATCCACAGCCTGACTGCAGTTTCCTGATGTTACTCTCAGAAATCAGTGGCTGCATTCTGTCCCAGGGCTCCCTGCAGCCTGCCCATAAGGCTGTCCCATTTTCCATCACTCGCCTCTGCGTTCACTCCAGTTGTCTTCTTGGTAGACCTTCAAGCTGCCTTTTGTATCTCTTTAATATTTTACTTTCTGAATCAGTCACCCACAGCTAGAGATTATTGGAAAACTGTGTTTCCATCCCAAGGGAAATACTGGTATGTTGTTTTCCTCCCCAAGTCAAAACCCAGTGTGCACCAGACAAGCAAATATCTTTGTGCAGTGGCTGATTCAGAAACCTCCCATGGGTCACAACAGGACTTTCCTTCTGGGTTATTTAGCTCCCACAGTGTTTACACTCTTATCCAAACACAGGGATGCTTCTCAGCATGTGCTGAGAGGAGAAGGAAAGGCAGCCAAGGTTCGCTGTGCACACAGAGACCTAAATCCTCATGTGGTGTCAACTGCTATAAAAGTAACCAGCTCCAATTGTGGAGCATTAACAACTTCATTTTAAATGTGAAACATATCAGATGAGGAAGGCTGGTGTACACAAGAAAAACCACAACACTGCTACACTTGTGGCACAGGAAGAACAAAGGCTGCCACAGTAATGAGCTAAATGCGAGGGAAGGTAGTATTTCCTTAAACACAGTGCAGTATGTATGTACATTTAGACACAGAATCACAGAATCACAGAATGGTTTGGGTTGGAAGGGACCTTAAAGATTATTTAGTTCCAATCCCCTGCCATGGGCAGTGACACCTTGTACCGGACCAGGTTAGTAAGAGCTCCAACCAACCTGGCCTTCAACACTTCCAGGGATGGGGCATCCACAGCTTCTCTGGGCAACCTGTTCCAGCAACTCACCACCCTCAAACAGAATTGTTTTCCTCAAAGAATTGTTTTGTTCACAATTCTAATGACAGAGTGATACAACTGGATGAAAAGCTTATGTTACAACCCGGAAAAAAACCACCAATACAGCCACATTGATCCGTGTTCTGCTACTAATGTAAAATAGAGAGTGTAGCTCTTACATTCAAAAAATCTCAAATTTAATTTTCATTCACATAAAATCTTTTCCAATAAGGAAATGTTGTGGTTTGTTTCATTTTATTCAATGCTGTCAGAAGTTTGGGGATTTTTTTTCCTTTTTTTTTTTTTTTTTTTTTTTTTTTTTTTTTTTTTTTTTTTTTTTTTTTTTTTTTTTTTTTTTTTTTTTTTTTTTTTTTTTTTTTTTTTTTTTTTTTTTTTTTTTTTTTTTTTTTTTTGCCTTTTGGATACATTATGCCTGCAAAAGTTGCTTTCAATCAAAGAAGTCTGAAACTTTGAAAGTTGAATTTTTTTTAGTCAAAAAAAAATAAAAAATATACATTCTGCCCAGAATTATGTACTGAGTTTGACCCAATTTGCAAATAATTTCTCAGTCACTTTCAAAAGAAAAGTAACAAAAAAACCCAAAGCCTCCACAATGTTTATCGGGAAATTCAGTATTCACCAATTTTGATAGATCTATAAATATTCATAACAGTATATTGTCATATTGGATCTTGTCCCAGAGAACTATCTTTTTTTAAATGCATGTAAGTCTCATATAAATGAGGTTTATTTGCTCAAAAGAACAGGCTTTAATGATTAAAAGTGGGACCTTACAGAAAGAACAGAGTACATTACTCTGTTCAAATATTCATCTGTGAAATGCAGAATTTAGTCTGCAGTTTTTAAGGTTCACAGTCCTTGAACACTTGTGCCTGAGAGCAAGAAGGAAATCTCGGAGTAAAACCCAGAAAAGAAAAAACCAAGCACAGCTGAATCAAATTCATTTAAAAGCAGCAAACGAATATTTGAAGCTTGCCTCGTGTTGCTCCCTTTGATGGAATTAAAATGCCTCAACAACTGCATTAAAATAAATTAAAAGTTTTACTCAGCCTCGGTGGTGGTGGATGCCAGTCCCATTGACTGCTTACAAGGCAGCTCCTCTACTGCAGGGAATTGCAGAGATGTACCTGGAGCTCCTCTCTCTCTCTGTCCTCACCAGGGACCTGGATATAACCGCAAAGAAGTGAGAACTATCTCGGTTTGGGACCATCCATCCCAGGCAGTCCCTGTTTTCAGCTGTATGGTTCATTGATTTCTTCTCATTGTTGCTTCTGAGATCTTGACATGCAGCTGATTTGTCTCAGACAGACATAGCCTCCGTGCCCTCTGAAAGACCTGAGCTGTACCCTCCCCTGAAGAGGATGTGGCACAGTTAAACTGAGAGAAACAAACTTTCTGACATAAAGAACAAATCACGAGCTCAGCTGCCTGCTCTTACACATCAAACACGAGCTACAGGCAACAACTTAAAACAAAATACAAATAAAAGCTAAGTCCAACACGATTAAAATACATGTTAGCATGTTAGTAGGAAAGAGGAAAAGGTCAGCTATCAATCAGTGCATCGGTCATCACCACAACTTTCTAACGCATGTATGTCACTTACAGGTCATAAATGTCACATGGCCATTCCAAATAATTAATTACCAAAATATGGTTCTGTTTTGCAGGGGAAGCACATTTTAAAGAGTAGCAAAGACCCAGCCTCAGAAGTCTCTTCTCTTGAAGACCTTTGCCTTTGGGCAAGGAAGGGCTGGGAGGGATGGCAAGAAGAGGAGGCAGTTGCACACATTTGTGTCAGCTTCAATTTTGAACAAGTTCTACAAAACAACTGTAAAATTACAGCGTTTTGGTATCATATACCTGAAGGAAAATAGGTTTGAAATTTCCTCCACAGCAAGGCAGAGGTTTGTGGTGTCTGTCTACTGCATTCATCAAGATATATAAAATAATACCAATATTAACATTACAAAGTGTGAGTTTTTCCCCAGGGGAAAAAGTATTTGCTGTACAGAAGATGAGTGTTTCGTCCTGCTTTTCTTCCCCTTTAGTAGCTGTAATTCAAGAAAACAGATGTGCATCTCCTCTCTTCTCACAGATATTTACCTTTTTAACACCAACCCATCTAGAAAGTTGCTTAGTCCCACGAAGTTATTCCATGAGTCAAGGTGCACACCTCACATCTGTAGCTGTCTTGCAGCCAGCTCCCTCAGAAAGCACTGTAGCCCAGTGTTGGAAATGGGGAGTAGGAGTAGAGGATGAACGAGAACACCACCCCCTGGTAGCCTGTTCTCCTCCTTTCAGATAGAGAGAAGACATTTGCTTTGTATTTTCCATTACAAGGGGGGAAAAAAAATAGTTCTTGTACCTAAACAGCTCGACTTTCCCAGGTATAAACCACGTGTGGCACTCACCAGTGTCAGCCAACAGATGGGGGAAAGCCTGAGGATAATGAAACCTTTAAAACCTGACACTTCCAGGTTAAAATATCCAGAGATAATTATATTGCAGACATAGATTTCAGAGATTTTTTTTCAGAGATGAAGGTAAAGTACTGTAGCT